AATTAAAACTGAAGTTAGTAATCTAATTGGTGTTGTCACAGAGCGACAGGAATGAGATTACTTAATTCAGTTTTAATTTCTACAATGTGTTTGAATCCTGATGAATACGTTCATTTTTTCTTGAACTCAGTTCTAATTGACGTAATTTATATCTGCACACGCAACATTTTGGAATCAGTAAGTTTATAGTAGATAGAAAGATATTACAATACCTCTTTTAAATGTTTTTCTAATTTATCTCTATCGGCTTTGACTTGTTCATAACGTCGATTTATATCATCAATTTCATTTTTATGACGATTTTCTACAAGACGTAATCTCTAAAAATAAAACACATTTATATGAAGGAAGAAGATTTTTTATAAAAACAAAAAACCTCTTCGAAATCATTTTTATCTCGATTAAGTTTATCTTGTAATGAATGAATTTGTGTACTAGAATTATTCTGTTGATCTAGTGCATTTTTATATACATTCAGATCTGATTGCATACTTTCTCTACAATTAAATAAAAAAATTTATTCTTTCGTAAAAATATTTTCTTTTTCTTTGTTTTTAATTACCGTAATTTTTTTTGAAGTTCTTCTTTTTCTCTGTCAATTGATTGTTTAATATGATTTAGTTCCTCTTGTTTTCTACTTTCTAATAATTTTCTTTCACGTGCAATGTTTTCACGTATATTACTTTCAATTGAACTGAAATAATAAAAAAAGAATAAATTATGTTTGTATATGTGTTTTTTTTTTGTTAAATTGATCTTACGCTAAATCAGCTTTCATTTTATCACGTAATGTTTGCTCTTCTTTTTGTTTTGCTAAATTTAATTCTTTTTTTACTTTTTCAATATAATTTCGATTGTCTTCAAGTATTTGTAGTTTTTCTTCATTAGCAGATCTTTATAAACAATCAAAATTGAAAGTTAAAAAGGCGAAATATTTATATATATATATATATATATGTCGGAGTTAACTTTAAAATCACGTTGCATTTAAAGATACCTTCCTCTTGCGGACTACTTCTGATTCCCCGCGAGAGTACAACCGATCAGGCTCCAATTTTTTACCACAACTAGATTATCGAAAATGATGGGACTCAACTTCGAAGAACAAATTTTAAATCAGGCCTTCAAAAATCATCGGATCTGCTTTATGACCTCGGTCTTACTTTGTTCGTTCGGATTGAAGTTTTTTTTCTGCAGATACCTGAGACAAAGGCTCATATGTATCTTTAAGCTTTTTGAAAAATATCAGCCTCTCCATTTTTAATTTAAAAAATATGGAAGATACAAGTTCAAAAATCGTTTTCTCAGTTGATGTTTTCCGTAGTTTTTTATGTTAGAATTCAATAGGTTGATATTTTTCAAAAAGATTAAAGACACATCTGAGACATTGTCCCAAATATCTCTCAAAAATGTTTCAGCTCGATCGGGCGAAGTAAGAGTGGGGTCGTAAGCAGACTCGATGATTTTTTCAAGATCCCTTCAAAAACTTCTGAAGACCTGCTTTGAAAACTTTTTTTTCAAGCATGAGTCCTATCATTTTCGATAATCTAGCTGTGGGAAAAATTATTTGAGCTCGATAGGTTGTACTCTTGAGAAGAATCACAAATAGTTCAAATGAGATCACGTACTCTTAAAAAGCAACTAGTTAACTTTAAAATGTCAAAATATTAAATTGTTATGGAATAATAGATAATAAATGATTTTTAACTGGTAGAATTTTTTCGATGTGGGCTTGACAAACAATTTCTTAATAATTGTCGCGTACCATCATAGCAGTTAATAATGAAGGAAGCATTCTACTGGAAACTATATGTGTATCTAAGGATATTGAGCATTAGACAGTAGTCAAGATGTGGTTTTAGAGGGAGCACTCATACTCTTTTCACTTTATAATGCCTTTGTTGAATGTTTGATTGTTTTTCTGAAGTCCATCTGCTCAATAAACATGATATTTACCATACAAATAAACAATTACGAAGTCACATTTTAAAATCTACTAGTTGCTTTTTATAGATAACTGAATGATAAAGCTAATCCTGACGTATATATATATTTACGCTTCAAGTCTTCCGCGAAGTTTAGTTAGATCATAGTCTTCACGTGGTGTAATTAATGTATCATCCTAAAGAAAATTTAATTAAAAAAATGATTAATAATAAAGGATCTATTTACATTAGTTAAATAAGTTTCTGATTTATTTATATTAGTACTAGATAAACGACGTACAGCTGCATTTGCTGCTAATTCAGCACGTTTTTTTCGATCATTTTCATCTTCATCATCAAGAGAATCTTTTCTATTCTCAATTTTTCTATCTATAAAATATATTCGATTTATATTTATGAAGATATTTATAAATAATAAACCTGTATTTTCCAAAGAATTCATTGTACGAGATGCAGACATTGCAGATGATGTAATTGCTTCTTTTTCATTTCGTTCAATACGTGCAGAAAGTGATGGTTCAATACCTAATTTTAATCGAAAAATATAATTAGTTTCTCTTTTCTATGATTTGTATTTATTCACCAAAATCAACTTTTTTTCTAAAATCATCACTACTTTGTTCATCATCATCATCATCATCATTATCTTCACTGTTCATTAATTCTTCTTCAATTTCATCATTATCACTATTTACATATTGAGCATCTAAGAAGAATTATAAAATAAAACAAAAACAAATTTTCAGACTTTTTTTTTCAGTTTTGTTTTTGTTACCATATCTACTAGCTTGTGCTTCAGTTCTTGTCATAGCAGGTGTAGTAACATTAGTTCCCAATGGAAGTGATTTTTTCCCACCTGATAAATAATCACTTACAGTCGATGTACTTCTCCCAGTTTGAGTAAGAGTGCCTAAAAAGATTTTTTGTTTTTTCTAGAAGTCAAATACGAAATATTTATTCGGATTTAATGCATAGACGAAATGAAAAAAATTTTGACTAGATTACTACGTAACAATTTCATAAGCCCCTTATCATTGAATCAATAGTAGAATGTCTCATCGATAATATTGATTTATAATAATTCTATTTGTCGAGTTTAATACTAGGGTTCCTTTCAGATAGTATCTAATTTCAACTAAACAAATTTGAATAATGAATTCTATATTAGAATTTTGATTGTGTTTAGGATTATATGTAAAAAAACAATAACAATAGAACATTCTATAGAATTGGTATCTGATACTCCACCATTAGTAATAGTTGTAAGTTGAGCTATGTGTTTTCATAAGGGAATAAAAGATTTGAATAATTAAGATCGATTGATTTGTTCGTTCAATTTTCAAGCCTACATATGTAAATACTGAATTAATACGATAAATTATCAACAATGAATCATATGTAAGTACGTTATTATAGTTGAAACTTAGTTTTCGTATGACACAAATAGATCGAATAAATCACGATTATTTAATCATTAGAAAGATCATACATGCGATTACTCAACACTTCAGTCATGAATACAAATTGGAATGATTTAGAATTAATCGTGAAAATTTAGACACATTTCATCATAAATCATGTTATTATATACGGACAAATATCAATGTGTTGTAAATCTGTTGACCACACGTCAATTATACTAGCTGAGTGATTAACGATAACTCGTTAATGATTATTATTCTTTAGAATAATTTTGAAACGAAATATTAATTTCGTATATTATTTAAATCAAATCAGTTTGCATTTATATATCGTATAAATAAAAGGCAAGACTATAGATTACAACTCTACTGTCGAATATTATCTGAAATTCGTTTTTTTCTTTTTTAATGAAACATGGAAAGAAACAGAAACACTCGGCATGCAACATTGCTTGATGATCATTGTTGACTTCCTACTCATCCGATATTATTATTTATTTAATAGGAGAAAGTATCAATATAATATTATATTTGCCAGGCTTGACACCATTTAATCTTTGGCGAAGTAATTCTGTCGAACGTAATTTACCTGATTAAGTAAATAAAACAATATTTGCTCATGCAGTTACCAAATACGGTTAAAAACACGGCTGTTAGAAAAAGAATTCAAAACATTTTCAGTTAGCCGCTAAAGAATAGGACTTTCCATAAATAACCTTGATTAACTCTAATATCTACCTCTTGGATTTGTATCAAGTAGAGTTGTTGATGATGATTGTTTTCGTCTTAAAAAAAAAAAAGAAGATTTCATATTAAAAAGTACAATGAAAAATTCAACTAAAACATACCGTTCTTCAAGAACACGAGATTTATATATTTCATCACATGGATGATCCCATGATGATTTACCAGTATCAAAATTAAAATAATATAATTCTCCATTTTCTTCTTGACATGGTTTCCAGCCAGGTGGTAATGGTTTCATAATACCTTCTCTAGCTAACCAAAAAAGATGAGGTTCCTATAGCAAAAAACAAAAAAAAAAAAATTTCAAATGGTTGTTTAAAATTTTCTATCTTTTTTTATTCTCGATAATTTACTTTATCTGGTTCAATACCAATGTAAATTGCATATTCACGAATTTCTTCTTGAGTAGGTTCATAATTTTCATCAAATTGTTCTTGTAAAATCGTTTGATTATTTATTTTATATTCCGGATATGTAATCATTATTGAATATGAAACCCACTTTAGATTTTTTTATTCATAAAGATAAAAACAAAAAATTATATTTAGATTTAAGAATTGTGGCAGTCAATTTCTTTTTTTTCCAGTATCTTGTTGAATCATCAAATTGAAGGTCTTCTTGTTTTTATTTATACTCTACTTCTTTTTTTTTCATCTTGTCTTATTTCATAGTACTGATTGTTGTCAAAGGAAACAACTCGTACACTCTCAATTTCCATTAGATGTCAGTGATGAACATGAATTTGATGAATAGTAGATTTTTTACAATCATATCTAACCTTTATTATTATTTTAATAACTCGAATCGTATTATTTTTGAGAACCTTTTTAATTAATAATAACGATATATGTCTATGAATAAAATGAAAAGTTTATTTTGATGATGTTTAACCATGAACAAAACGTTTGCCATGAACAAAGCGTTCTTCGAGAAGATCATCATCGTTATTCTGTTGCTCGGCATCTTCGTTCGGTGATCGACCATGAACAAAACCTTTTAAATAAGCTCTAAAAAAATTACAATGAATTAGTCTATATGATAAAAAAAATGAACTTTATTACCTTTTTGCCAAGAATTGATTATTCGTACAAAGATAATGACAAAATCTGCTAAGATCATCATCTGGTTCACTGAATGCTGATCGAACTACACGAATGTTAGATCTAAAAAAATTTCAATATGAAAAACAAAAATATGATATCAATGGATTATTTTTACTTTGCTTTTGAATCAGATAGCTAAAATAAAAAATTACGAGCATAATGTTTCGAATAATTAAATAAATATTTTGAAAACTTACACTAGATTCAGAAAGAACAGTAGTGAATAGTAGAAAGATAAGACACACAGCCATAGTAAACCGGACAATGATATTAGATTGCATGATGATGTGTTGTTCACTCTAGATAAACGATAGAATAAATGTCGTCTGAACTATTACTTTCCACTTACAAAAACCATTCAACAAAAACAAGATGAGAAAAAAGATTGATGTGGGCAGGACGTGTCTCTCTCTCGATGGAGTCCTTAAAAAAAATTATTTTGCTTCTCTCATCGCTCCTAATGATCAACAAATAGTCATTCATTGCGTTATCACTTTAGACGCATCCTTCCATTTTATCGAAAACCAATAAGCTTGAGCTAATTCAATTGTAGTTTCTAGTCTGTATATGTTAACAAATATATACCTCATTACGGGTTTATCAAAATTGTCTGAGTACCTAAACGATAAATGTGAATTAGATGTCTTGTGAACGAATCAAATTGATTGATATATTGATCTTTTCGATCTCCATATATAACATTAATAAATTCAAATGATGAATAAAACATATTATACACGACTCGTCATTTGTAAAGATAACGAGATTTTTGTTGACATTTCAAATCAAGACATTTTTTTTTGTCTTAATTTAGTATGAATAATTGGAATCGATTTTTATCCCTTGAATAGCTTCCTCATAATAATCCTTTCAAAGCGATCAATCATTCAATTAACATATATGGATTGATGGAACATACAAATAATGTAAATAAATTTTATTTCGAAATAAAACGAGATAAAACATAGTTCGCTGAATTAAAAAATATAAAATGAAAACAATAAAAATAACATATATGCTTGATTAAAACTAAATAGCTGGAATGAATAGATGTGTATTGATTATTTTAAGTTAAAGTGAGTTTTTTATTTTCAGCAGCTAACGATGAATGATCACCTAGAATAGCTGCTTTAGCTAATCCGTATAGTTTTTTCATAATTGATGCTGATGAATCCCAATATTCTGCTTCGACAATATTAATACTAAAAAAATAATTGATATATTTCTAATAAGAAATATAAAATCACTTACCGAAGCAATGTTAAATCAGGGTCATCAAGTCCATTTGGAAACCTATATTGATAAAATACATCAAATTCATCTATTTTTTTATTCTACATAGACCACTACAACAGTTTTTTTCACTCGACTCTCCTAAAAATCATAATTTAAGTCTAAGTATTCTCTGACCATGCATAGATATATTTAGGATTATGCAAAATTTCAACCTTTTAGTTGTATTTTCTCATTTCTTTCATATTAATCACCCATCATTTTTGATATGAGTTCGAACTTTCTCTATCCGAAATGTTGGATTGTTCACTACTAATACGGAATCTAAATGGATTTGAAATCCTCATGAGACAAACTGATTTTACCCATAGATTGGATTTTGTCATTGATATAAAAAATTATTTATTTTCGTGTACAATCATACTGCAAAATTCATCATATGAGAATTCAAACTCATATCGACTATGGTGTGTCGCTAGAAATTGTACGGAATCAATTTTAATCCCGATTTCGGTCATCGGAGCCATGAGAAAATAATTGTCTCAACAAAAATTAAAGACTATAATTAATTGCGAATTATCCTATGTATCATTAATCAGAACATAAGTCAAAAGAGATGACCCAAAAAGAAAATGCTAGTCATTGACTAAGTGAATCAAAAAATGAGTCTTGTAGAGTTCTTTTAGATATAGTACGAATAAATTCTGGAATAGTTTTCTCTAGATCAAGACCCAAAACGAGACTGGAATCAATAGGAAAGAAGCCATCAGGACGGAGACCTAAAAAACTTGATCCCCCGTATCTTTGTGTTGCTAATATAAAAGCAATGAGAAAATACAACTATGCATACGACCTAAAACGCTGAAACTTTGCACATAATCCTAAATATTTCTATGCATGATAATGGAATACTTGCACTTAAATGATCACTTTTAGGAGAGTCAAGCGAAGAAAGTTTCGTAGTACTTCATGTATTATTTTGATTTACCAAATTTTAAGAGAATCATTCCATAAATCCTTCTTTTTTGTATTATCATCAACTAAATTAGCACGACCACTAATTGAAACATCTTAAAAGATTTCAATTATATTATAATAAGATTAATATATCGAATAGAATCATACATGAATGATGATCAGAATCTGCATAAGATACATTGACTTCTTCTGAACCCCTTTTTAATTCTGTAATCTTATGTGCTAAAATAAAAAAAGGCCAGAAACTAATAAATATTGATTTATTAATAAATATATTACTGCTTCGATGTGTAAAAAACCAAAGTTCACCATGGAATGAATCAGCTTGTTTATTAATCATTGGTCTCAAAAAAGAAAAAGAAATACAGATTTCTAAATTGTTTTAAAAATGAATTCAATAGAACAAAAATTCTACCGGCTATGAAGTGTACCATCTTCATTAACTGTTGTTAACATTGCAAATTTAACATGACGAATAATTTCGAAAAGTTTTTCAAGATCTTTTTGATCTTCATGACTTGTTGCTGTCATCTTTATTTTATTTTTCTAAAATATTAATTAGCATAAACTAGACAAAACAAAAAGCAAAGTCAATTGGGTTATGTTTATTTGTAAAGTTTTAAAAAGAAAAAATCGCAAGTATGATATTAAATGTAGAATAAATTGAAAAGGAATCTTGAATAACAATGTATCATTCTATTTATTTTTACTCCTCTAATGCATTGACTTTTTTCAATTTTTTTTCAAGTTCACCTTGTTTTTCTAATCTTTCTGTATCATCACCACCACCAATACATTCACCATCAATAAATACACGTGGAACTGTATCTGCATCTGTGATTCGTCCAAGTTCATCTTGATAGTCATCGCCATTTTCCATTTTATCAAGTTCAATAACTTTATAATCTTTTATTTTGTATTTACCAAGAATTTTTTTGGCTTTTGTACAGTATGGACCTTTATACAACAAAAAAAAAATTACTATTTTCTTTTTTTGAAAACAAAAATGTGTTTTTTTTACATACAATTAGTTTTTGAAAATACCATAACTTTATGATCCTTAATTAATTGATTGATTTCATCCTTTATACTATTTCCACTAGCTTTATCGCCTGAACCACTGGATGACATGATGAATAAATGAGAAGAAAATAAAATAGTGTTGAAACGCGATTTTATATTGAAAAAATGAAGAAAAATCTAGAAGAAATATGAATCATTAATTCAAGAAGACACAATAGCTACATACGAAAAGAAACAGAAGGAAAGAAAGAAAAATAATGACCCTAGGATATACTAAAGGAGAATGCAAAAATTTTGCAGCGTCATCATCATTGTCATTGGTTTACTACATAACTGGTCTTAAAGAAATTTTGATTTCTCTACGTACTAAGAATTACGATACCTTGAAATATCAAAAATATCCAATGCACTCATTAGTCTATTTGACAAGGTAAATAAGAGAATGACGATATCGATATATTGCTGGTTGTATGAAGTACTCAACATGTGATCGAATCTCATGGGACAATTCAATCTTACAATAAACTGTGATTCAAATTGGTTGATGCGTCATTTATATCAAACATTGATATCTTATCTCACGTTATCAACTATAGAATTAATCCGTTCGAGTTCTATATACACAGTTTTACCTGATGATCTTTTAATATAATTCAGCAATTTTAGAAGTATTCTGGAAAATAACAACATTATTGCGGAACTTGCATATATATTTTCAAAAGAAGCTAGCGAGTGTAAGTGTTTAAGGCGAATTTTTCCTACTCTTTTCTAGCGTTTTTTGAGTTTTCGCAACAGCGAGGAGCTATTCAGAGGTCAGTGAGTACGTTTACTCTAGTAACCGATGGTAATACACGCCCGACTTCTTTCTCATAGTTCTTTTGCAATGGAAAAAAAAGGCCCTGAACTGTATTAACAATTGAGTTCTAGAACGTTCCAAAGTCTTTCTTGAAACTTAAATGTCTGGCATACGTTTATAAATAGTTTTTATACAGATAAATAATTATACAAAAAAAATGTCACGAACGGTGGATAGTATCGTATTGTTTTACCACAGTCGTCATATGATCAACATAAAAAAGGATGAACTGATCAAGCCATAACGTTGGAGAACAATCAAAATTGATGTTTCTGAGTTTATCAAGATGCATAGTAACGTGTTGACACCTACTGTGGATATAATCGATGTGTACAAAAGTCTTATTTATCAGTTGAATCAATGATTAGAATAATAATAATAAAAGTTACATTAAGAAAAATGGAATATAGAAAAGAAAAACAAGAAGTTCAGATAGCAACAAGGCAAGTAAACAATAGAGCGTCTGTAAAATATTAAAAAAATTCTGTTCGAAATTCAAAAATCAAGCGATTATCCTAGGAAAACAACTACAGATTGTAAGAAATTCTTTACTTCATGTATTTTGTATTAGAATAATGACGCTAAAGAACACATGTGTGTTCGATATTTTAATCCTAAAGAGGCTGTGCTTACAAGCTTTTTATTTCGATCACCAGTAAATTCATTTTATAATAAGATTAACATGATTCTATGTATCAAAAACAAACCTTAATGAAATTAAAGAAGGCGCTAAAAGATACGCTATTTGTCTTTTTATGCAAGAAAGATCAACAGAATCTAATAATATTAATGAACTAGAACTCGATCCTAATAATAATTCTTCAAGTCGTCGTCGTCTCTATTTTCTTAGTTCATGGTTAGATAAATTTGAAAGAAATAAACTTGAATTTTATTCTGTTATATTTGGTATATCTGGTATTAGTTTAATTGCTCTTGGTCTATGTATTTTCATTATAATCTATATAACATACGAATATCATTTAATAAATAAAATTGACTGTTCAATTATAAATATAACACATACACATGTAAAATTATGTGCATCGCGTCGATGTCGAATTTTTAATTATTGTATTCCTTACGTATGTACAAGTAAGTAAAATTGATTTTGTTTGAAATACATGGTGTTTCAAAAGTTCGAACAAAAAAAAAAGACCATAAATAATTTCTCAGCAATTCAAGTAATTTTAATACTGTTGTTTTTTTCACAGTTTTATCACATAATAATTTTCAGATTAATCGTCCGTATCTACAGAAGTCAGAATTAAAATAGTTTTATTGATTGTCCAATTTGAGCCAGCTACTGTTGTCATCTTACATCCTGAAAATTGAATTCAGTAAAAACGTACCAACTGAATCACACTTTCGAGATTTTATGAAATTGATACTGTGGAAAATCGATCACATTCTGGAAGGCCTACAACAATCACTGAAGTTAATCATACTTTTGAAAATGAGCTTTACAATATTATCTTATTCGAATTTGATCATGAGTAAAACTATTGTAATTCTGACTTCTTTAAGTGGAAACATTTTATTTCAAATATATTTTAGTGAATATGTAATTAAACCGTAAAAAGAAAATATTTAAATCCCTTGAATTGCTGAGAAGCTATTCGTATTTTTCGTTTCGTTTCGCTCGGACTTGACGAATACTCTGTAGATTAAAATAAAAATAAAATACTTTTTTTTTCTTGAACTAGTTGTTTTTGTACGTTATCATTATAATAATTTTTCATATGAATCGAAACTTTTTCCATATAATATTAATTTAAATTCATCATGTTCTTATGAACCATCATCATGTATATCTCGTTCACGTATTCAAAATGAACAAATAACCTTTCTAAAAACGATTATTTTTAATCACTCAAAAATAAATCAATGTTGTCTTCATTCATTAACTCAACAACCTATAATTTGTTATAATTATTTTAATTCTATACAATATTCTATTAGTATTACGTCTATTATAATGTGTTTTTTAATTGGTTTAATTTTTATTTTTATTGGAACAATAACACATTTACATCTTAATAATTATTTAAAATCTCCTTATAAACATGAAGAAAATTTTCTTGATACAATATTAAATTTTCATTTTAGTAATGGTACAATAGGATCAGTTATTGAAAAAACAACACCAGTTAATTATGATATATTAACACAAACAATAAGTCATCATAATACACCATCAACAACAAAAATTTATCCGAATGATAATTTACTTTTATTTGATATTGATGAAGAAAATAAAATTTTTCAAAAAGAATGTTTACATTTTAATCATCAAGAAAAAATACAAAATGAAATTATTCGGTTAGTTAATCGAACAAAAAATACATAGGGCATACACAAGAAGTAATGAGGCGTCGACACTATAATATCGTATAGAAAGCTCAAAAAAAAACCTTCTCCGTTTATATACTGATAGTCTGCTGTATAATTCTAAAATATTTCATTATTCTTTAGTTGATACTATAATATAGGGAGTACGCAGCAAAAATAGTAGCTGCTCGACGAAGAATAAATATAGAAACATGTTCATTAAGTTTTCATTTCATCAACTGTGTTGAAGTCATCATTCGGATTGCTTACATAGAATTGCATCCGTTGGATCTATTTATCGAAAGTTTTTCTATGTTTTGCTCTAATAGATCATGCACTTAGTTATAGAAGAAAGTATTTCATCCGGAATCGCTTTTGGTTTTGTTTGATCAAGTCCAATAACCAAAAATCACATATGTACGGTTTGCCATTATCTTGACAAATTATAATAGCATAAGTATCAAACAAAGGTTTTGACTTCTTGGCTTCGTTGCCAATAGGCTGAAAACAATCACAGCTCTAATATCGGTGACTGACAATTTGACTCTGTTTCATATAATGGATAAAAATAGAACCAGTTGACTTAAAGAAGATGATTACTAATGTCGTTATAGATAGAATCGACAGTTTGCACGATTTACTATCCGTTGATTACACAAAAAATATATACCAGCTAGCGTTTTGCTTCTGCGAAGATTTACTTTCCGTTGATTATTTGGAAGAATAGAAATGAGCAAATGAGTAGTCATTCCGACAATCAATGTATTATCAGAGCGAAAAAGATATCTCAATCCAAAAGCTTTCAAGAACGCTGAAATATCAATACGATCTTCATCATAAAATTACCACAATTTCATTAAACATTCATCTGTTATGACCTTATTTTTCCGACATCTTGGAGTTGAAGCATGTGAGTGTGAAATTTGGATGAGGAGAAGAACTATACCTACATCCTCAACAGAAAGTAAATGCTCTCACAAAATTGGAATAGATTTTTTTTTTGTTATCAATGGATAGCAAATCATGCATACGCGAATAGGCATACATGATGATGCATAAATGACGATATCATCTGATTCATAGCGATGAACTTTCGCCGAAATTTTGATTATTATGATATCAACTAAAGAATTATGAAATATTGTAGAATTATAGAGCACTGTTTGGACTATCACAGAATATAAAGAGAGAAAATTTTCTTCAGCTTTCAATACAGTCTCAGATCAATGATTCCAAGGCATGAATCCGTGAATTTTCGGTAGGATTCCACTGGAATACTCTGGAAAATGGTAGGAATTCGGCAGCCGGATTTTTCTAGTTCCAGTCGTAATCAGGCCAAGTCGGTCATTGGATTCCTACTTCTAAATTCTTACCATTTTCTCGAGTTTTCCGATCGGAACTGTCCGTATTTCTTAACATGAGATATTATAGTGCCAACATCATTAATTTTAGAATGCTCTAAGTAGAAAAATTTTTTTTTTTGTTGTCTTTTCTAGACAATATCAATTAGGTAATGATGAAATAAAAACTATATTAAAGACAATTGAAAATGATTTTCAACAACAAAATCATTTAGAATTACCAAAAAATTCTATTGAAAGAATTAAATATCTACTCGAAAAAATCGATAATCTTGATCTTTATTTTCCAACAATACATAAACAATTATCAATGGATCAAATATCAGATTCTACATCTCTCGATCATCATTCTTCACTTATTTCTGTTTCACATCCACATGTTCATTTTCGAATAAAATAAAAACAAAAGATTTTCTTTTTCTTTTATAAGACAACATTTTCAAATGTTTTACCTGTTCTTATAAACAAACAAAAACAAAAAACAATTCGGCTTACATAAGAATTTGTTTTTCTTTTTAATGATTTAAACTCTGGTTGTTCTCGAGAACTAATTGATCAAATGATGATTCAATTGCATGAATTTTAAGATAATCAATTTCAAGTGGATGTAATTGACCAACAATAACAAGTGAATGTAATGGACGACCTAAATCAACTTCATCAGCCATTCGACGTAAAGTTGTTGTTACAAACTTTTCATCTGACCAGCCAATACGTGCTGCACCCACACATAATGTTTTATCATTGATTACTAGAATACAAGACAATAAAACATAATGTTTTAAAACTAGAGGGACGCAGAAATTTTCTCAAACTTCTGGAACTTTTTATTGATACATTTAGAATATAGGTTACTTCAATCCTGATCGTTTTATTATGCACTTAAGCCTGTTCAACGTTTATTTTCATACCTTTCAAAGACTCACTCATAACTCCGAATCTATGAGTTCTAAAAAAAATTATGAACCTAGATTCACAAAGAGCAGAAAATCGTCATTCTAACATGATGTTTTCACAATTCTGCTCACTATTTTAATCGATCGACAAAATGAGGTAATATTTTTTCCTCATGCGTTATATACTGTTTGATCAGGAAGAAAAGTACCATTTCAATTGTACTTCAAATTATGTTTGAATTAGATGAACTTTCACTATTTTCTTGGTATTTTCCATGTATCCATTTCAATTCAACTCGATCGTTTCTTTTTGACAAAGATCTCTATTTTGATTTGATTTAGTTACAAAATAATCTAAGCTTAGGCTATCTTTAATTTGATCATTGGTAACTCACATTTTTTTCAATTTGTTTGGATTTTAAGACCCCTTAAAAGTCAATCTTAGGCCAAACATATTCAAATTGCATGACATTTTCAGGATATGTTAGGACTATGGTGAGGAAGCTCTGGTAAGATTTTCAGTCATATACCATAACGTTTTCGGGAGATATTTAACAAACAAGGATAAAAAATAGTTCATTTTGCAATACAAAATTCTTTATGAACCTTCATTTTGGATACCTAAGTTTTTATTTGTTTGAAAGAACTCGACATAGCCTTTTTTAAAAACTCTTGCTTTTTAAGTAGAGAAAAGGAGTAAAAAGTTCAATGTATCGAAAAACTCGAAAAAAAGTAACGTTCTAAGTATAAAAAAGCATCCTCATATAATAGTAACAAAGTTTAATTCACAAAAAAAGAACTTTGTCATACCCTGCATCTTGACATGTTCTTTCAAATAAGAAAGTAATCTTAAATATATAAAATGAATGTCCAGAGAGAACTCTGAATTGCATGATCAAAAAAGCGAAAAAATTTATTGCTAAATAAAAATATCATGTCATTTATGGTAGATGAGACCTTGGTCTATCTTCGAATGCCTTTATCTCAATGTCGATTTTTCTGACGAAAATTGACTTTTTTCGAGATCAGTGTGGCTTTAAAAAAAAACATCTTCATCTTTTCTTCTTTTTGATCAAAAATAAATATTTGAATTTAAAGAAAAAGAAAGAACAAACTTACTATCTTCAACTTGTAATTGTTTGGCTGATTCAAGAATTTGAGAAGCCGCTTGTGATGTAGCCATAAAACGAGGTGGTAGATATGTTTTTTTCTTCCTAACAAAACAATTTTACATAAAAAATTTCAATACATTAAATAAACATCAACAACAAACTTCATATAACTAGCTTCATCTTGTTCTTTTATTTTGATATCTGAAAATTTTCAATCAAATAACAATAAATTAATTAAAAAATCAATATACCTAATAAACAAAGTGTATGTAAACCACGTCGTCGATTAGCAACAATTTTTTCACAAAAACTTGTTGGTCGCCATGTATCTGTCCAAAAAACAATGGAAACCGTTTCACCAAAATGATATAACTTTATACATATAGAATACATTTTTTATTTTTTATTTATCTATCGAAAGTATTTTACCTGTAATCCACAACTACCAATAGCATTCATTATTGATGCATTATGAATTACTTTATATGGAATATTAAGTTCAACAGCACGTAAAATTAAATCAGTATGAGTTGTTGCTGAAAGTGGATCACCACCAACAAGAAATGCGACATCATGATCTCGAGCATTATTTAATATTGTATCTTGAACAAATAAACAAACAAGAAAAAAACGTGTAATGTTTGATCCAAAAAATTTTTCTTACCAGCTGAAAGTTCAACAAGTTCTCTATCAGCTGGTATGATTTGAATTCCTAAATATTCTTCTAATGTTTTTTGATCAATTTGTAAAATTGTTGTATATGTTTCCAAATAAACTTCTTTACAATTTTTAATTATACGTAAACCTTTAACAGTTAAATCATCAACATCAGCTAAACCAAGACCAATAAAATAAAGCATATCTGAAAACAAGAAAAAACCAACAGTGCGTAAATTATTTTCTGCTTTTTTTTTTTATTTAATGGAAAACAAAATTATTTTAACATAGCTTTGTTTTTAATTTTTTCGTTTTTGTACAGTTTGTTTAGCGTGTAAACATTTACGTTGATGACCACTTAACCATGCTGGATATTGACCATGTTTACTTTTTAATTTACGATTATTATATTTCAATGTTATATTTGTATTATCACTAATTTGCATATCTTTAAAAATAATATTTAAAATAAATTTTATATTTATTTCGTTAAACTTACTTTCATCAATAAATGATTCTTTTATTGAATTTGTTAAAGCTAAGAAAAATTATTTTTTCAATAGAAAATTAAAAAGATTTATTTTACGTATCAAAATTATCAGTTTTCATTGATGCTAATCGTTTTGCTTCATCTCTTTTTTTTTTTGATAATTTTTCTCGTAGAAGTTTACGTATTGTACGTGTATGTTCACTTTTTACCATCTATAAATGCACATGAAAGAAAATATACAGATATTTTTTTTTTTATGTAGTCACTCTATATGAACATTCTATCTTGTGCTAAAAAACAAGAAAAAAAGAGAAAATGAAACATTTTTGTGTTTGCATTCAAATGAAATTTTGAAACTACATTAAAATGAAACAAACAGATCCGTTTCAAAATAAAAAAAAAATATTCTTTCGTCTATACAATTAAGTTTATTTCCATTAATCACAATATTTGTGTTGAAGCACTTTGACTTTGATATATAATAGCTCCAACAAAATTAACACCACTTGCAAGAATAAATACTGGAAACCACCGACCATGACTGGCAACAACTAATTCAGCAGTTACAGGACCAGCTAAGATTCCAGGAATAGTTGCAAGCGTATTTGATATTGCAAATGTTATACCAGCATGATTAGGTGCTATATCAGCATGATTTGATAGATGACCAGCAGAATTACATGCACTTAAACCCATACTTATTGATATAAAACTAAAATAATAAGAATTTAGTTTAGATTAAATAAAATAGAATTCAACATTACACAACAGCAAGAAGAAGATTATCAACTGAAATAAATAATAACATAAAAAGAGCAGGTCCAAGTAAACCAATAGCTGTCATTAATCGACGAACAGATAAAACTGTCCATCGATTTTGAATAAGAGAATCCGCAAAATGACCGGCAGCTAAAATGAATAAACAAACATATTCATATGAACTATGTCAATTTTCATATCATATTTTACTGGTTTAGAGATCTTCATAAGATTGATGTAATCTTAGACAACTTTGAATTCTTTACTACCATTGACATGAACTCATATAGAGGTTAACTAAAAAGTGAATTATTTTTGTGAAAAAACGATTGAAAAGGAATGTTGAAGTCAATGGTTTACTCTGCGTGGAAGCAGCATCCTCTGGAAAATCGGATTGACTCTCCTGGAGTTTGTGGTTATTGTGCTACATACACTATTTCTGTGCTTCCCAAAATAGGTGCCCGCCCTTTCAGATTTTTAAATCACCTCTCTGAAACAAAAAACTTCTATAAAACACTGATTGAAGTATAGGAGTACAAATTTGAACCCTCACAGACCGTATATGAATTACCGTCTCGTTATAATATACGAACTTCATACTTATTGCATTTCTAAAGGATTAAGTAAAAGGATAGTGAAGAAATCCATTCCAAAATTGATCGAATCAAACAATCTCCCTGAAATTAGCAAGAGCAATTACATCATCTTTCACATTTCAATCCCACAGGGATTGTGCTAACAGGTTTGTTTCTTGATAGCACTGGCAAAATTTTTAATATTCTATCTCTATAAAAAAAAAGAAACCTTTTATAGGAAATTATAATTGTTTGTTTGGTACAAAAATTATTTTGAATGAAAAAACTAATGTAGAGATTTAAAAATAATAAACATAAAAAACTGAAGTTTAATAAATACTTTATTTAATTACATCATCTATTTCTATCATCATTTATTATAAATAGTTTTTGTTATGTTTATTTCTCATTGATGATAAGGTAAAATTCATTTTTCTTTGTATGTTTATTTACAATACCCTTTACATTGAAATTCGATTCCAATGAAATGCAATCAGAGCTGAAATGTATATGTATATTATAAACACATTATAAATTATCCCGTACGAAAAAATTTCAGTTCTCTATATTTAATCTTTTACTCTAATCCTTTTAGGATCTAACCCCAGTCTCTTCCCCGCAAAAAAGTCAATTTTCGTCCGAAAAATCGACCTTGAGATAAATGTATGGGAAGATAGACCGAAGTTTGATCTTTGATAAACGACATGATTTTTTATTTAGCGCCTCGTCTTTTGCCAAAATTCACTTTCTGCTTGAAAAATATGCTTTTTCAGAAAAAGCGAAAATTCTTTTTTTTTCATTTTTTTGCTTGCGTAATTCAGAATTCTCTGTGGATATTCATTCTATATTAGTTTTTGTTTGAAAGAGTATGTCAAGATGTAGGATATGACAGGATTCTTTTTTTTTGAAAGTTTGTTGATACATTGAACTTCTCATTCCTATTCTCCACTCAAAAAGTAAGAGCAAAACAAAAGCACTTTGTTATGCTCTTTCAAACAAAAACAAAAAGATTAAGTATACAGAATGAAAGCCCACAGAAAATTTTCGGTTGCGTAATGAGCTATTTTTTAACCCTTGTTTGTTGAATATCTCCCGAAACCGTCATGGAATAGCGTTGAAAATTTTACTACAGTAATTTCACTACAGTCTGAACATATCCTGGAAAATTTCATTGAGACTTGAATCTATATAGTCCAAGATCAAGTTTTGAGGGGAGGTAGTCTGAAATATTCTATCAATCATATTCAAATCAACATATAAGTAAAATATGGCAACAAAATGGATGTTTCACATTTTGTCAGACTTATAGCACACTTCTCTAAATGTTAAATTAAGAAAAATGAACATTAATTATTTTATTCAAATCATAAAGTTACGATATTCTTCTTTTTTTTTTGTCTTTTTGAAGACATACTTTCAAATTTTTACTTACCAACACCTAATAAACAATTCATAACATATGGAAATGCGGTAAATGATAAATTTGTTGGATCGGCATCGAATGTTTTCGTTAAATAAGATGGTAACCATACCATAACAATATATGATGACCAATTCATTGCAAAATGTGCTATATAAATTGCCCATAATGGCCAATGTGAAATAAATTCAATCCATCGATAATTTTTATTTCCTAGCTAAGAATAAACAAAAAACAAAAAAGTCTGACTAAATTTATTTTCAAATAAATAAATACTTTCGATGATGGATGAGTAAAAGCTTCGTCATTACCAATATTTCCAAGAGTCAGATTAAAATCACGATAACTAACAATCCACATAAATGTCCATAAGAAACCAATTAAACCGAATACAAAGAAAACAATACGCCAAGCTATATGAGGGCATATCTAAAAACAGAATTATCTTTCTAACCAAAAAAAAATCATTATTTTTTCTTTATCATACAACTGCTGCAAATGTTTGTCCAACTGAACCTAAGGCAATAAGATAACTAAAAGATCTCGATCGTTCTTCCATAGGTACATAATTACTGAATATATGAAATATTGTTGGTAAAGCTGCAACAACAAAAAAACCTATTTTGTTTCAATTAAATTCACTATTTTATTTACCTAAACCTTCACCAAATCCTAGAGCAATTCTTGAACAAATAAGTAAAAAAGGTAAAGGTGCCAAAAATGGTGTTGCAAATGTTACTAATGACCATGTAAAAACTGCTAAAGCCAGAACAGCTTTTGTACCAAAACGTCGTACAAATATATGAGCAAATAATTGACTTGTTAGATAGCCAATAGGAAATGATGATAATATATAACCTTGTAAACGTAAGTTCCAATTAAATTCTTTTGCCATTGGAATAATGGCAACTAAAAACATATATATTTTTTATTAAAAATTTCTGGTAGAAAAAAACCTATACTTGGCATAATTGCTCGATCAGCAGCATTGATAAAATTTGCAAGTGAACAAAGTGTTACAGTACGAGATTTTCCGAACGACATTGATTTAAAAAAAAAAGAAGAACTATTCCGTTATTCCAACAGAACACATTTTTCAAACTGATTCTATTGGCTAATTCATAACCCAAAAAAAAATGTCATTTCAATATCGTCAGAGGTCGCATTAAAAATAAAATGATACGAATATTTTTTGATCTTTTAATAAATACTATTCAAAGTTAAAAAACAATTTTTTTATTTTTAAATTAAATTAAACAATTAGAATAATAACAACAACAAAAAAAAAGAAATCTTTCTATTCTACTGTCCTCCTTCAGTGCATGTATGTGAGGTGATCTGGATTGGTAAACTAACGATAAAAATGGATTCTAAATTACAGACAAAACGACAAACATTATATTGTTTTTTGTTTTACTTTAAAATTTTTAATAATAATTCTTTTCGTTTTCTTAAGATCAGTTTTATAATACCTTTTTAAAAACAAAAACAAAAACTATGGGTATTAGCCGTGATCATTGGCATAAACGACGAAAGACTGGTGGTAAACGTCCACAACCACATAAAAAACGAAAATTTGAATTAGGTCGACCAGCGGCTCTTACTAAATTAGGTGCAAAACGTATTCATACTGTACGTACAAGAGGTGGAAATAAGAAATATCGTGCACTTCGTCTTGATATTGGTAATTTTTCATGGGGTTCAGAAGGTATTGCTAAAAAGACACGTGTTATCGATGTTATGTATCATCCATCGAATAATGTTTGTATTTCAAAAATTTTAAAAAAAAAATCTTTACTTTTAATTACATTTTGTTTTATTTTTTGTTATTCTTATTAGGAATTAGTACGTACAAAAACATTAACAAAATCAACAATCGTACAAATTGATGCTGTTCCATTTCGACAATGGTATGAATCATATTACGCATTACCACTTGGTCGTAAGAAAGGTGTTAAATTAACTGAAGCTGAAGATGCTGTACTTAATCGTAAACGTTCAGGTAGATCCGAAAAAAAAATAGCTGTTAAACAACGTCGTGCAAAAGTTGAACAAGGACTTGAAGAACAATTTCAAGCTGGACGTGTTCTTGCATGTATTGCATCTCGACCAGGTCAATGTGGTCGATGTGATGGTTATGTTCTTGAAGGCAAAGAACTTGATTTTTATATGAAGAAAATCAAACAAAAGAAATCGAAATAGAAAATAAATATTTAAATATGAGAAAAACAAAAATTAACGAAAATTGTTTCTTTTTGTGTCTTGTATTACCATCGTTTTATTATTATAAAGAAAAAAAAAAGACAACAATAAATACGTACAAGAAGAATGTTTTGAATAATAAATAAAGAAAACAACATAAACAAAAAAATATCTAATTTATGTTTTTTTTTTTGTTTTCTAGATAGAATATTAAAATCATGACCGGTTCGGATTCAACTGAACAAAATAAACAACAAGAAGGAAATAAAGATGATGGAAAAAAACCAGTTGAAATTAAAGAAGAAGATTTAGTATGTCAAATTAGAATTCTTTTAGATTAGATTTTAATTTCATACATATATATATATATATATTTAGTCTGAAGAGGATAAACAATTAAAAGAAGAACTTGAATTGTGTGTTGAACGTTTAAAAGTTAGTAAAAAAAAAACCAAAGATTTAATATTTTTTAATATAATTTTATTTTAAAAGGAGAATGATACACATTTATATCGGCCCGCACTTGAAACACTTCGACAAAAAATTCGTGAATCAACTAGTTCAATGACAAGTGTACCAAAACCATTAAAATTTATGAGACCATTTTATAAGGATATGGTTGAGATATATGAAAAAATTCAAGATGTTCATAATAAAGTATTTTTCTTGATAAGTCTTTTTTCTATATATAAAATATAAAATATTTTTTTTTCTTAGTCTTTATGTGCTGATATTGTTTCAGTTCTCGCTATGACAGCAATCGATACAAAAGAAGTACTTAAATATCGTTTATTAGGTTCAAATCAAGATATTGGCATGTGGGGACATGAATATATTAGGTAGAAAATCATATAAATTTTGTTTTCATTTTTTGATCATCTACCTCATCCTTTCGATTATCTAAACCAATAATCTCCGTTTCGGCAATCATCCTTTTCGTTCACTATTTTGGATATATACTGTATAGAGACAGATACGGCAGATATCATCTCAGAGTGTCATCGATAGCTTCGACCATTGGAGTGAAGATCACCGAAAATAGGCATGTCCGAAATCTAGATTGCAGCAATTCGGTGATGTGACTCTCGATGAAATGCATTCAGACCGGTTTCTTTATTAATAGAATAAGATATTAACTATATACAAGAATCTATTTACTTGAGAATATATAAGAATCGATCGTTCGTGAAAATATTCAAACAAATACAGATTGAACAGTTTTCGCAATACGTTGATTCCTTCCGAAAAAAACCACAAATTTTTCAACACAGACTTGGCTTTAAATTTCATCGACGGTCAAACGAAGAAATCTTCACTATGTTCTATTAAGCATGACAAAAACTTGCTAAGAAAAAACAATCAAGTCCATTAAATATTGTCCAAATTAAAGTAATATTGAGCAATAGAATTAATGATAGACACAAGTATATAATAAAAATAAAGTAATAAAGAACCATTGAAATCAAACAAGAATAGAGAAAATGAATTCAGTTTGAACTAATCTCATATTATATCGAGTTTTGCCGATAGAAAACTGCTATATTGTGTCAATCGTAAGTGTTTGCTACTCTTTAGCCTCCATGAAATTTGTACTGATATATTTTTATATATTTCAAGAGAAATAAACAGAACGGTTATCATGAATTCGATTAAATGTAAATGCAATTTTTTTGTCATTTACTATTTATACAAACTATTCATTTATATACTAAAAGATAGAGAATTTTGTCCTCTGTTTGGCTGATCTACTTTTGGCTATCGAAACTTTTCTGAAAAATTGAAAATCCCTCAAAAGTAGTCTTCATACTGATTTTGGTAGGAGTTTTTAGACAATGAAATTTTTCTAAAGTTTAAGTTCAGTTGCAAAATCCCTATGTGAATATCCAAAAAAAAAATGCAGAATTTCATCCTCTACAAGATAACGTGCATGATGAACCTCAGTACCAAGTAGGCTTCAAAATAAATGCAAAAACATAAAGCTGTCGTTTTAACAAATAGACGACTTCATCGAAAATGTCTTCGTTTTTCTAGAAATCAAGCGAATTTCTCAGTAGCAATATCACGTACTTTTTTTGCTTGTTTTTGATGCTGCAATAAAGAAATACAGCGTATGTCAGTGTATTGATTGCTTCGAAATTAAAAAATGTTCTTTTTAAAAAATGAAGTATACAGTTTTGTAGAGTTTGAAATTCTCTATATTTTGATACATATAAATGAATATTTTATATGACTAGTAAACTCTATTCTTGTTTATCTAGACATTTATCAGCTGATATTGCTTCTGAATGGGAATCAACAGAAACAAATCCTGAACTTCGTCAACGTCTTCTTTCATTAACAAATGATATAATACCATTTTTAATGCGTCATAATGCTGAAGCTGATGCATGTGATCTTTTAATGGAAATAGAACAATTAGATTTAATTGAAACATTTGTTGATAAAGATACTTTCTCACGTGTTTGTCTTTATTTAACTAGGTAAGAAAAAATTTAATCATTTTAAAAAAATAAATTATCTTTTATGATCATTTTATTTCTTTTTAGTTGTGTACCTTATGTACCTGAACCAGATGATACGAAATTATTACGCACAGCATGTAAACTTTATCGTCATTATGATCAATATCCATTAGCATTACGTTGTGCTATACAATTAAATGATATGGATCTTATACGAGATTTAGTTAATACATGCCCATCAAGGTAATAAGAATTGACAAAAAGATCTCTAAATGGATATATAGACCTGAATAAAAATAACTATCCTTCTGCTGTGAAATAAACACTCAACCAGTTTCTGTTTGTCATTTTACTATTCCACGAGCAACTACTAATTTTTTTTTCTAGCACTAAAAAACACTCCCATATGCCTACTTTATAATCATCCAAGGTCACGATACATAGTCAAGATCTTAGTAATTAGCGCATCGAGGGATAGCAGAACTTTCAGAAAAGAATCTTCGTCTCATATGACCTTTCTACTGACATTTTTAAATGAATTGGTCAAAATCGTCATGAAAAAAAATCACTATATGCTCTTTAACAGACATTCTTAATGAGAAGACAATATCTCAATTATTTTAAAGAGATTTCTAACAAAACTCAAACGAAAAATAACTATGATATTAGGCTGTTAGAATGAAATGTTGGACGAAAATATTTATGCCAACATGATTAAGATAAAATGACGTGTGAATTATAACTTCAATACATGTGAACCGACGGAGAGCACAGCAAAGGAACCTGTCTGATTGGTAAATGCTCGTCTACTGGCAACTGATCGGTTTATTTTACTGAAACTATATTTTAGAATAGATTCACGTGAATGACTAGTATATACCATGAATATGGTGAATTTGAACGATTCTTTGAAAATGTTCAGTATGCTATTTTCCATTAAAAAAAACAACAACAGCACAATAGAATATTGAGTCGACGAAACCAATCTGGTGTTTTCACAATCGACCGATCGCCCATCCCATCTCTAGAAGGGCGAATTAGTGCTCGCAATCAGGGTTTATTGTTGCGCATGTATATCCAAAAATATCAGCTCAATACTATAAATAATAGTGGGACTGCGCAAGGGAAGGACAGCTACTTTTATCTAAGACTCTATGTAAAGTTTTGATTTTTTTAACATTTCTTTTTTTTTTCTTTTTTGCTTTTAGTTTAGTTAAAAAACAACTTGCATTTATGTTAGGACGACAACAAATTATTTGGAATGTTACAGAAGTCGATGGTGAAGATCCTGATGAATTAACAAATATAATGTCGAATTCACATTTAACATCAAATTTTTTGTCATTAGCTCGTGAACTTGATATAATGGAAGCTAAATTACCTGAAGATATTTATAAAACATATTTAGATAATACAAATCGATCAAATTATAATCAACCTGATTCAAGTAAACAAAATTTAGCATCGGCATTTGTTAATGGATTTGTTAATGCCGCATTTGGACAAGATAAAATTGTAACACAAGATACAAAATGGTTAGCAAAATATAAAGATAATGGTTTATTAAGTGCGACAGCTTCACTTGGTCTTATTGTTCTTTGGGATGTTGATGGTGGTCTTAGTTTAATTGATAAATATCTTTATAGTTTTGATGATAATATGAAGGTTCGTTTATATTAGAATTCTGGTTTTTTTTCTTCGAAAAATTTTCTATATGAGAAAAAAAATAATAACTGATTTCAGAACATAAAGGAAGTTTATCGAATGAAAAATAGCATAAAATTCTTTTTTCATTACTCCCTATTTATTTATGAAAGTCTTAAAGTTTTATGCGACGTTTTCTTTTTGATTTAACATGAAATAATATTATTTACTCATAATTTCATTTAGGATACTAAATACTGACTGTTTCAGAAATAGCCTACCAAAGAAAAAAGATAATCGAATATCTTCGTGATGATAGAGGAAGACTGTAAGGTTTTTAATTCATAGCTCATCAGCTTATTGACACAGTTGAAATCTAGTACTATGTACTTCAATCCAAAAGTTGACCTTTCTTTGGAATATTTCCATAATTAGTTAATCACAAGAGATACAGAGATCTGAGAATTTTGTAGAGCTTTTTTCGGTGAACATTTTGGTAGAATGATTTTTCTATTTTTATCAATAAATTAAAGTCCTATAGTCAAAACACTGAAAAAAGTTAAATTGCTTCAGAGCAATTTAATGCTTTTTTAATATTTTTATGCCAACACGGTTATTTGTTGATAAAAATCGAGAATTCTTTTCTTAAAATAATCATTGGAAAAAGCTCGATGAGATGGAATCTATGGAAAAAGTTATCGAATATCTTTGCATCTTGATGGTTGACTACTCATACAACCACTCTACCAAAATTAACTGAAATCATACGAGTTTCTCGAGAATTTTCTGTATAAGAACATCCAAGAGAATCCTGAGAAGCCAAATAGGCTAGCAAAAGTTCATAAATTGAGAAAATTTGAATTATATTGCCGTAGTCTGAAATCTATTGTTCATCTTTATTAGAAAATAACAATTTTTCTCTTTTAAAGCCCATCCCTCAAAAATCGATCTAGAGTCACGAATATTCAACTTGCATGAAATTTTCAGATCATGTTAAAGCTGTATTGGACAGATTATGGTAGAATTTTCAGCGCTATACCATAATATTTTCAGCAAATATTCAACAAACAACGAGCAAGAATATCTCATTTGACAACCCAACGTTTTCTGTGAATCTTGATTTTATATACGTAATTCTTTTTGTTGGGTAGAGCATGTCAGATTCAAGTGCACTTTTTTAAGTTCTTATTTTTTAAGCAGAGAAAAAAATAAAAAGGCCAATATGTCGAAAAGCTCTCAAAAAATGATGTTCTAATTATAAACAAAGATGCTCTTATATAATAATAAAAGGTTAATTCAAAAAAGGAATTCTGTCATGCCCTATATCTTGAATGTTCTTTTAAATCAAACAACAATTACATATATAGAATGAACGCCCACAGAAAGCTCTGGCTTAATACATTCAACAAAAAACTATATTTTTCAAGTAGAAAGTGGCGGAAATTATCGAAAATTTTGGCAAAAAACAAGATGCCAAATAAAAAAAATCATGCAGTCTACGAAAGATCAAACCGCAAGCTATCTTGCCATACATCTATCTCAATTTAGATTTCTCGGACGAAAATTGACTTTTTTTTAGGAACTCAGGTCCAAGAAAATCGACGGTTTTTCGCCGCCGTTTTCCCGGAAGCTCGTAAAACGGTGAAAATATTAGGAGAAATGATGACTGCTTGTTGGCGAAAAAATCGGACTGACAGATTACGGTGAAAATTAGTGCAATAATACAGCATTTTATAGCCGTTTCGAGTAGTTTAAGAGGCCGTTTCCAACGGTTGACCTTGAAACTTTTTCTATCGTTACGCAAAAAAAATTAATTTATTCGATCAAAATGTCTTGAAAATTTTTAACTTACCATTAAAAAAAAAGTATAGTTCTTAAGATTTTATAAGACATTAGAATATTTATTGAAAAAACAAAAATCTCATTACTTGATTATGTTTGTTTTTGTATAATTATTATTTTTTGTTAGGCTGGTGCACTTCTCGCTTGTGGTATTGTCAATTGTGGAGTTCAAAATGATTGTGATCCAGCATTGGCACTTCTCGGTGATTATGTTTCACATAAAGATACACCATTCCGTGTTGGTTCTATTGTTGGGTATGATTTAAATTATTTATTTTCGAAATATTTTATTTAATTATTTTAGTTTGGGTCTTGCTTATGCAGGTACCAATCGTGATGATGTTATTGAACTTATTAGTAATGCATTACGTGAAGGAAATCCATCAATGGAAGTAAGAAGATTTGATTTTTGTTTATTTTTAATTGATTGATTTTTTTTAATCAATTTATTTTAGGTTATTTCTTTAGCATGTCTTTCAATTGGTATAATTGCAGTTGGTTCATGTAATGCTGATGTATCAACAACATTATTAAGTATTTTACTTGAACGAAGTGAACTTGAACTTAAAGATCATTTTGCTAAATTTATTGCACTTGCTATTGGTCTACTCTTTCTTAGTAAGAATATTTTATTTAATATAAATATTAATTTAAAACAAAATTTTTGTTTAGGCAAAGGTGAAGCTGTTGAACCTATGTTAGAATCTCTTAAAGTAATCAATGAACCATTACGTTCATTTGCAACGGTACTTGTTGAATGTTGTGCATACGCTGGTACAGGAAATGTTTTAAAAGTTCAACGTATGTTACATATATGTAGTGAACATTTTGAAAACAAAGATGAAAAAAAAGTAATATTTAATCTTTTTTTTTTTTCTTAAATAAAAAATAATCGAAATTATTTATTTATTTATTTATTTATTTATAGGAAGGTGAAAAAGAATCATCAAAAGATAAAGACAAAGATAAAAAGAAAGAAGATGAAACAGCTACACAAAATGCTGCTCATCAAGGTTTTCAAAATTAATTAAAATTTAAATAAATCTCTTATTCTTTTTTTTTGTCTTTAATTAATTTTAGCTGCAGCTGTACTTGGTATTGCAATGATTGCTATGGGAGAAGAAATTGGTTCAGAAATGGCATTACGTTCATTTGGACATTTGGTAATATATATAGAGAGACTCACTTATAAATAACTAGACGATAAGAAATTAAAATATCGACTAAATGAGTTAAAATAATAAAAACTTGTTCGAAGTTTCATAAGAGAAAATTTTAAAAATAGTGTTTCAAGCTATAATATCTACCTCAATGAAGTTTTGTCACATTCTATGGGTTAAAAACATATTACAAGATGATTCATACTCATCGCTAAGAGATGAGTGTTGGTGTAGAACAGATCCATACTAGAGTTCTGCAGGACAGACTTTTTTTGAGATAATTCTGAATGTTTCGCAAGGCCGTAATCCACATTCATATTATATTCTGAATCTGGAATTGAAGAATGTATGCACTTCAGCTATAATAGACTCTTATTGCTTGTATGTAAGATTTTATAAATAGAAGAAACAAAGCGTATACAATGATATTTTGAGGCATCTTGTAATATTTTTTAGCCCATAATAGATGACAAAGCCTTAGTGAGCTAAATATTACTAGCTCGGAACATTATTTGTTAATGACTCTTTTATGAAGAAAAAAAAACTTTGAATGAACTTCTTCTGTTGACAACAAGTTTCGACCTTGGTAGATAATGTCGAAATTGAAAAAGACTTTAAAAAGTCTAAAAAAAAATTCGTAAAGGAAAATATCGAAATGATGAATCTTTTCTTTGTGATGAATGATAAATCCAATGTTATAATAGTTCAGAATGAAAACGAGAAAAGAAAATTGACAATATAAGATCTTATTATTATTTTTCGCTTCAATTAACAATGATAAACCTAACAATAATTCTTTCGTATTGATTTCCTTCTTGAGAAAGGTGTGGGTGAATAGATGAAGAAAACAGATCTACACCACACTCCACGTTTTTTTTTCGATATTTTTCGCAAACCTCAAAATTTCAGCTTATTTTGTCGATATCTAGTGAAGATATCTAAATTTCTTATCGTCTAGTTATTTGTGAGCTATCCTGTATATATTTCTTTTCAGAATAATAACTAACGTTTTTTTTTTCTATAGTTACGTTATGGTGAACCAGTTATTAAACGAGCTGTACCTCTTGCACTTGCTTTATTATCTGTATCAAATCCAAAATTAAATATAATTGATACATTAAGTAAATTTTCTCATGATGCAGATCATGAAGTATCATATAATTCTATTTTTGCAATGGGTATTGTCGGTGCTGGTATGTTAAATAAGAAGAAAATTTAAGAAAAATATTTTAGAATACGTTTTTTTGTTTTTTGTTTAAAGGTACAAATAATGCTCGTTTAGCTGCAATGCTTCGACAATTAGCTGTTTATCATGGAAAAGATATGAATAATTTATTTATGGTTCGTCTTGCTCAAGGTCTTACACATCTTGGTAAAGGTACAATGACACTTAATCCATATCATAGTGATCGAATGCTTCTTTGTCGTGTGGCATTGGCTGGTTTACTTACTGTACTTGTTTCATTATTTGATGTTAAACAAAGTAAAAAGAAGTTTAGATTTATTTATTTATTTCTTTATTAATTAATATTATTTTCTTTTATTAAGCTATTATTGGTAAATATCATTATTTACTTTATTTTCTTGCATTGGCTATTCAACCACGTATGCTTGTTACATTTGATGAATCACTTCGACCATTACCAGTACCTGTTCGTGTTGGACAAGTAAGTTTTTATTTAAAAAGAAAAATAAAACACGAGACCTATGGTTATTTATTTATTTTTCTTTAATTTTAGGCAGTTGATGTTGTTGGTCAAGCAG